CCGCCGCGCTTCCCAAGCGGCGCACTATCCAGTGCACCACCGGGCCCGCCCTATTCTCATGTTTAATCAAGGGGCTGAAGACCTGAACCTGTCCCGTGCCTTGGAAGGAGGGCACGCCCACCCTGAAGCTCCGCCACTGCTCAGCACCTCTCCTGAGAGCTTTGCCACGCCTTGTGTTCTCAGCACAGCTCTTTTCACGTGGCGTGTGCTCCACAGATACCTGCTGAACAGAATCAAGCAGGATGACCTACTCGAGGCATTGCAAATGGACAGTACTTGGGTCTCACTCAGTGGCTGTCACCCAAGCCTCTCTTTGACTCTTTCTATTTCTCACCTTGTCGCTCTGCTCCCTACCTAAGTGCTACATCTCCAGCTGCCATAACAGTAGGAGGATGGTTGGTTAACAGAGAAATACAGATTAGTATAAGTTTATTAAATGCTGAGTATGTCATTGCACATACTGATTTCCCCTTGTGAATCAGAAAATCAAAATTACTGTATAACCTACAATATTTTGTAGGGGGCAGGGAGGGTGTGCAGCTGGCTATTAAGGGCATCCAAACCTCTGATCTTGTCATTATAACTCTGCACTTCAACCAACTGAGCTAACTGGCCAGCCCAATACTACTCTTTCTATATAAACCACTAAGGCTTTTTGCATACTTCCACAGAAAACATTTTTGAACCACTAAAAACTTTGTTTAAGACACTATTCAATGTACTTTCCTTACTGCAAATCAGGCAGATTCACAATCTTTCTACGAAAATATCCTAGTCATAACAATTTTTTTAGTTGCACATTAGCAATTAGTAGTATACTTAAATGAGTGATCATGAAATATGAGTTTGTGGCAGAACCTAAACATATATTACTTTAAATTCTTAAATTCCAAAATATGCCCTCTGCTTAATAATTATTAGCATTATATTAAGAAAAGCAGCCTATTTTCTAAAATGGGGTACATTTAAAAGCCATACCCTATTTCAGAAAACTCAAAATGTAAAAATTTGAACTCACTCATACAGCAAAAGATTTTTTTCTTTTTGTAGTAATTCTTCTAAACAATAAGGGTGTAAATATATCAAAGAGATGCTATAGCAGCACAAACAAAACTCCCTGTTTCTTCAGAAAAGTTAAAGCTCATGTTTTAGTCACAGCCAGCTGAGGAGGAACTAGAGTTGGTGATAATGTATCTCCATGTAACTTAAACCAATGGAAACATTTTTAAATCAAAATTCAATTTACAGAATTTAAACCAATTGATTTCCATCAGAGTCTACAGCTACAAGTCTATTCCACACTCCCACTCTAAGAGGCCAACAAGGATACAGTGGTGACCATCTTTCTTTTTGAATACATAAGCTACATAATTAAACATTACATTACAAATGCCTGAAATAGGGCTGGCCAGTTAGCTCAGTTGTTTAGAGCACAGTGTTAAACACCAAGGTTGATTTGAGGGTTTGGATCCCCACACAGGCCAGCAGTTTTTAAAAAAAAAAGCCTGAAATAATTTCTTCAAGATAAATTGACTTAATAGCTCTTATCTCATTTGCTTTGAAGACAGCTAAAATATGATAAGCTTTAATACTACTAGAGATGGAAACCACTGATTCCCTAGCTTTCCCTAGTCAACTCTCTCCTCAACCAAAAAATTCCAAGCTCAGGCAACAATCTTGGCCATATCTTTCTTTTACTTGACTATGGATTAATATAATGATTGAGCTAATTTTGAATGGGTCTTTAAAACTAATATTTTTTCTGGGCAAATTTTTAACAGTGATACATACTCTGAATTAAAAAAACCCTAAAAACGTAACTACTGCAGCACATGAATATATAAGTTGTTAGAAGCATACTGTTATAGCAATTTCAGAAAGCAGGGCAGAGAGGTTACTTGTTTCTGCTGTTGAGCTTTCCTTAGTGCCTCAAGTCTCTTTTCTTTCAGGCATTCCAATTCATCCTCATCCATCTGATCCAGTTTCTGAATTTCAGAATCCAAATGTTCTTCCACTAGTTTGGTAGTCTGAAGCAACTGATTCTCAAGGACTTTTGAAAACATGTCAACAGATGCATCAGCTTCCATTCTTCTAAATGGTACAGTTCAGTCTTGGTCCTAGGGAAAAGGTTTACATGACTTTTTTAAAAGCACAATAAAAGCAAAGTTCTCTCAGACATTTTCAAAAATTCCACCGTACATAAGGTGTATGCCACAGAGTATTCCATCTAAGCACTTGCTATTAGGCTTAAGACTTATTTAAATGTTTTTAAATTTAACTTTCAATTTTTAAAAGCACAATAAAAGCAAAGTTCTCTCAGACATTTTCAAAAATTCCACCGTACATAAGGTGTATGCCACAGAGTATTCCGCCAACATCTAAGCACTTGCTATTAGGCTTAAGACTTATTTAAATGTTTTTAAATTTAACTTTCAATAGGCTATAATCATACCACTCAAAAACTACTTAGAGCAAATTTTAGGTGCTTCTAATTTAGTTTGTGTTTTACCATACTAAAGCAAAGACAATTCTTTGAGATCATCACTTGACCACAGATTAATGAGTTGTGGAGTTATACCCGGTGATATATACTGACAATCAGTGTTCTTTACCAAAGGAAAAGGGAAGCAAAGCAGAAGCGACTGTGAACAATGGTAAGGTATAACTACTGAGGATTTACACATACATATACATAATAAACTTTGCTTCAACAGAGTGGAGTTCAGCAAAAGACAGATTTATCACGGTCACTGCCCAAATGAGTTTCATTTCTTTAACTCCTGAGACATCTTATTACAATTTATGTAAAAACCAGTGCTTGGTGTTCCATGAGACATAGTACTCGTTCCTGTTCTCCTGTTACCTAACAGACTCTATGAGGTTGCAAAAATTCATATTGGTTTCAATTTACTGACACTTAGTGTTCTTAACATTACAACACTCCAAACATTTTTTTAAACGTTGATATTTTCCCCATCATTACTCCTCTGTGTAAAATGAGTTTTGAAACAAAACTAATTCAGATTAGAAAGGAAGATCTCAATTATATATTTTTAAAGAAATAGAGTATTTTCTACCAACAACGGAGGACAATTTTTTGTATATCCCTGGATTATTACCACAGAAATATTATTTATAACTTACCTATCAAAGCAGGAGGCTGCTGCATCTCACTAAACTATGATACATTTGCAAATTCTACTGAAGTACCTTAAAAATCGAAATAAACTGTAAACTCAATCACTCAGCTTCTGACTTAGAGCCTGGCCCACACCCCCTCTATAAATATTGAACTGAAGAGAAATATTCTTCATGCGAACTTCACTTCTGATTCCTTTTTCTTCACAGGAAAAGCAGCTGAAAAGCACACTTCATTTCATCTTTGTACCCCCTCTTCTAGCAAGGCTTAGAACACAGCATGTACTCATAAATATCTGTTTAATGTTGAATGAACATTTGCCTAGCTTCTGTTCAAATTATCTTTAAGTTTCAAGAGTTTTTGAGTTTAAAAAAGCAAACCGTAAGCTCCTTATACATGTTATGAAACTGACAAGGAGCTGTATTTCAAATATAGTAAAGGATTTCCACACTCCCTCTCTCCCAAGAAAAATGTCAGTGAGATTGTGACTCTCGGGGCGGGGGCTAGGTGTAGGAGAAAAATAAGACACTGACTTGCATGCTTATCCCTGGAGTTTTATGAGCCCAGAATTTAATTCTGGAAAAACTGGGAACAGAAGCAATTAACAAGAGCTGTTCTGGGTGCAAGTGGTGGTGGTCACCGCATTCAGAAAGGGTTAAGGAGATGGAGTAGCGGTGTCAGCAACTTTACAGTCTTCAAACCACAGCCTCTGATTCTTCCCTTCTACAGTTCAACTGGAAGGACGGGAAGGGACACCGCGTGTCCTCAACTTCCCTAGCCATTTCCTTGATTCCCTTACGGGCACCCACCAGAACAACCAAGAGACTTCGTCCTTAACTGCACCCCAGGTACCTTCCCAGTAGTATCTTCGCCACTCCCCGAACCACCGGTGACAGATGAGGGCACAGTTCCGACGGCCCCGACTTCAACGGCCCCTGGGGCGCATGCGCGAGAGCCTCCGCCGCTACACAGACACCGGCGTCCGGGCCGCGCCCCTCCCCCGCCTCGGTCGGATGTTGAGTGGCGGTGTTTTTTTCAGCACCGGGACGCGATGGTCCGTTTCTTCAGACTACCCTCTGCCTCACCTGAGCGCTTCCTGATGCTTGAGAAGTAAGGGAGCAGCGGCTCCAGGACAGCGGTCCTCACTAGCCTCAGCCTCGCAGCAGCTGCCGGCCGCAGCGAACCGGCTGTCACTTCCGCCTCCTCATTGGCTGTGGACCTCACGCGATACAACCTGCGACGCCCGAGGAAGGGGTGGCCGGGCGTGCGGAGAGCGCTTCTGCGCGTGCGCCT